CTGCAGGGACTTCTGACATTATTTTTTAGTTTCCTGAGTGAAAACAGTATTAAGGTAGCTTCAGTTAGAAAAGCTCTGTTAGATCCAGGCCCCTATATTTCAGTCTTTAGTTCAAAGTACATACATCCCTCATACATTTCCTGGGGTGCCTAGAGACACAAGGGTGGGGACTTCCCATCTCTCTTTTGCTTTACATGCTCAACTCTTCACATTTCCATCTATTGTTTCTTTTTGACATTCTCTTAGAACCCAAGACATTGTGACGTTGCAAGGATGGCTTTGTTAACTACTAATCAGACTCAAGAGATGATGTTCCCACTTGGCTCATTTCCCTAAGGAAACCTGCCTTCTTTATTAATCCCTAAGTCCTTTAAGATAGCAGTAAAAGGAAAATTACACCAAGAGAAAAGTACTACTTCTGTTCTTCTAGCTCTGTCCCCTTTCCATTCAAGATCATGTATTCCTGCCACCACGCCAGACCTGTTTGGACACCTGGACATACTGCTTTTCTCACTAGCTCATGGTTGGTTTTCACACTTGGAGCCCTGCCTACCCTGTTGTATCAGAGTCTAGGGCTAGAAAAAATGGGGAAAGATAACACTTGTGGGCAAGTACCGTTTTCAAAATTGGGAGTTGCAATTCCCCCCCCCGTTATACATTCCTGTTATACATCAAGCACTGTCTTGAATAGTTTCATGCTCCACAATGACTTTCTGGAGTTTGGGTAGATGCAAGGGTAGAACATCTAGCTCAGAGTCACACACACACACACAGAATGAAAGACCAGATCAGGATTTGAGCCTCTTGTCTTTCTCACTACATACTGCATTCTGACCAGAGCAGTGAGTGGCCAGTGGGGAGTCTTCTGCCATTATCTACAGTGGGTATTTTCAGTGTTTGGATCCAAACATTTTGTGACTTGAATTTAAGGAAAATCTGACCAAGCTCAACCTCTATAGGCAATAAGCAGAATCTTGTAAAACAGTGGTACTTGAAAAGATCTATGGGATCCTTTGGTATAATATTGTGGGGACAAATGTTGTAGCTCAAATTTTGTGTCTCAGTTTTAAAATTTTAGTTTAAAAGACTCTTAGAGACAGTTACCCATAAACGAGTTGTTAATTCTTTCAAAGCACAAGTTCCCACTTCCCATTCTCATTAAGTTTCCATTTAGCCATTAGATGAGAGCTTCAAAAGGGAAAATCCAGTCATGTATAATCTCTAGTTAATGGGCAGCTATTGAGTGTCTAGGTCACCAGAAAGAATAATTACACAGTGCTTCTTTGTGTAGTAGAGAAAAAATTAAAAGCTAATGCGTTCCCAAGGCAAGCCAGATTGTTACTAGCTAATAGCATCCTCCTCTTGAGGCAAAAGGTTGAGGCACCCACCGTGCTTGCTATGGGAGATTGCAAAGCCATTCCAGAAAAATAGAGCTACCCAAGGAGGAAAGAGAATGAATGGTGGGGCGGGGCAGGGGGGCGGGGCTAGTGGCTTCCAGGATTTTGTCACTTCTAATTGCTGATGGTTGGGATGGATTACTGAATAGGAGACCTTCTAGTAAATGTTGTCTGCACTCATCAGGATTTCCCATGAGTCTCTGGGGCTTCTTGCCACAAGTAAAGTGTAACAGTTGATGACTGAGGTAGAGCTTCAGCCCCACTCCCATAATTGTCTGTTTTCTAAGCATACCCAGCTTCATAAAGACATAATGCTGACTTTTGTCCAGCACTACCTGTATTGATTAATGAAAGGTGTGCATAGCCCTCTGGACCGAGAGTGGTATGTGCTGGCCACAAGCCAAATAGCTCCTGGGTGTGTGTTAGTATACTTCAGTTTGGGTTTTCAAATTTATATTTTGGTGTAGTTATTTAGAATTTGCAAAACTCAGCATAATTCAAATAACCTGTTTTTCCCCCCTTAGAACACTTCAGTTATGGAGGATCAAAATGAAGATGAGTCCCCAAAGAAAAATACTCTTTGGCAGGTAGGAACAACGGCGTACAGATAAGATAGCAGTTGACTTACTATAGATAAGATGCTCCCTGAGCTCATATCCTCAGTGAAAACAAGAGCCAAGCAGTTTTGTCTTCTTTGTGCGATTTTGCTAGTTTCAGAATCCACTCTATAGTTTGTCTTTCTTAGGGCAGTGTCATTGTGAATAGTAAACCATTTTGGTGTTTTCACAAAGATACTGAAGTGGCAGTAGCCTGAAATCTGTGGCCATTGTCTGAGCAAAGATGGTGGCATTCTTGTCACCAGAATGGCACCATGCCACATGCCACATAACATGCATTGACATGCTTTCTCCTGTTGCTTCCCCCATCAACCCTTCTCTCCCCTTTTCCTGTTGGTTTGCTTTGTCTTCTAGACGCAGTTTCCGTCTCTTCTGGTTCTGTTTTAGTTTGCCAGCTTTTCTCCTAATTTCCGACACACACTGGTCAATATGTAGTCTCATAATTTAGTATTTTAGTCAGCCATTGTGGTACATAGATCTGTGTATATATATATTTTCCATCATGAATACACAAGTAAAGGTAAACAAATCCAAATTTGAAGACTTAAAAAAAATATTCTCTTGGTTCATTTGATTTGACAAGAAAAGTATATTAGTTAGTAAGTATAAAGTATCCCCAACAAATTTAAGATGAAATGAAACAAAGCATAAACAATGCCAGGAATATCCTTCTGAGCCATGTTGGTGTTTAGAAAATAGAAATGGAAAATGAGGTATAGGATCAGATCCTTGCCACTGTCATGAGGGGGGAGCTATATGCAGACTCAATTCTATACCTTCTTCACTGTGTTTGATAGATAAGGATTCTCTTAATTTACTACTGATTTTTTTTTTATTATTCAGGGCACTTCTTAACACTTAAATCTTAAGTTTTTCTTTTATCAGTCTTTCATGAATGGTGTAGCAGTGCTCTAGGGAGGCTATAAGAAGGTGAGGGACCCATCAGTAAACGAAGTAATAAACCAGTGCTTATGAAATGAGATAATGGATGTGAAAGCATTTTATAATACATAATACAACAATGCACAAATGCAGGTTGTTGTCATCATCATATTTAACCAGTTTTAAAAGCAATTATGAAAAAAATACATAGAAAGATAAGAGGAAGGAAAACAAAGCTTTCCTTACAGTACTTTTCCATTTCCAATATCCTTTGGTAAGTTCCTCATCACAGTGTGATACAAAATTCTGCATCCTGCCTTTGTTCCTTAATATTATTTCATAGACGTGTTCTCTTGTATTGAAATATAACTTTATAAACTTAATTTTAATGATTATAATAATACTTTATGGAGATGTGTAATTTGCTTTAACCAATTGTCATTAATTGAGCAGTTATTACTAATTTTTCAGTGTTATCACAGACATCCTTATGCTTAAAAGTAGCAAAGATACCCCTTAAAGTTGCTGATGTTCACCACAACAAACATTTGTCTGACTATTTTGAATGCTGATATGTTGGATCGGACAGCTATGTGTGGCCTAGTACAAGCAAAATCAAAAATCTCTGTTCAATGCTGCCCTCTGGTGGTAATTAGTGTCAGTGAGCTCTACACCTGGATTATAAGGGGGAAAAACATTCCTCACCAGGAAGGTGGCAAGATAGTTGGGGCGGGAGGCTTTATACTCTTTGTGGACATGAGAACTTGCTTCAGGTGGGGAAGACTTATAAGATTTTGTCAAGGAAGGCCAGTGACTCCTTTACATAGTTATAAAGGATGTCTTCTTTCTCGGATGGGTTTAGTTCACATTAAGTTAAGGAACATATTCATAAAATTTCTTGGTTCTTTCTGTGTAAGCCTTCTGACATAAGCTACCAGTAGAATTAATGAATGTAACTCTTTAGTTTTCAAAATTCTCTTACGTTATCCTTGCTGATACAATACAGGCAGGAGCTGTCAGAACTGATGGACAGATAGTTTTGCAAATGTTTGGCTTAAGTATGAGGTTATTTTGTTTTGAAACAGGGAGGTTACTGTGTCTTATGGCATAAGTAGCAGTGTGGCTTTAGGCTGGGAATTCAGATGTTTGTTGTTGTTGTCCAGACACAGTATATGTAGTTTCAATTAAAATATGTGTGTGTGTGTACATATACACTGGTTTTATGTAAGGATCATGTATTTGATGAGATCTTCATGGATTTAATAAGAAATGCACTCTTGGTATAGGAGTTTGTGGGATGGCCATAAACCACAGCTGTATTAGGGGAGGAACTTTTCAAGCCTATGTGATTGACCTTGGGTCACCCTCTGAGTAGGTGATGAAAAGAAGGGAGTGAAAATCCATACTGTTTTGCCAGCAGATTAGTAGCCCTGGAAACAATATGGAGAAGATTGAAATTTTGGTTGAATGAAGCTATCTAGGTTGATTCCCTTTAGGTTTCAACACAATGCCTGTCTTCTCTGTTAGACCAGTGGGTCTCAAAGTGATTTGTAAAAGGCAGTCACTCACAAGCAGCAGCATCAACTTGTTAGAAATGCAAATTCATGGGCTCTCTTCCAGACCTGTAAAATCAGAATATCTGTGATGGGGCCCCTGTGTGTTAACACCTTTGCTTGTTATTCTCATACATGCATCAAATGCAAATATCAGTGGTATGGCTGAATGTGGCATCTGAGGTCAACATTGAGGAAGTAAGACGTTTTACTAGTCAATCAGCTGACACTTGGACACATTTTAAGCAGTTTCTCTGATGGTGATTTGCAACATCAGCTACTTAACTTGTTTTGGGGGATAAGCATTGGAGAATAATTTAAGATGGCACTTAGCTTTGGGAATACCTGTTGCTTCAGCATTTGCTTTGGAGACTTGAGGATACAGCCCTGAATGCATTTTTCATTACTGCTTGAATAAATTAATAAAGAAATAAGTTTGACTTATGGGTAAAACTGGCATCTAAGATTAAATTCATGTTTTGAGATGTTTCTAATGAAATATGAATTAGATTTCCTTGTCAGACTAATTATTTTTTGTTTTTCTAAAATAGATAAGTAATGGAACATCATCTGTGATCGTCTCCAGAAAGAGGCCATCAGAAGGAAACTATCAAAAAGAAAAAGACTTGTGTATTAAGTATTTTGACCAGTGGTCTGAATCAGATCAAGTGGAATTTGTGGAACACCTTATTTCACGAATGTGTCATTATCAGCATGGACATATTAACTCTTACCTGAAGCCCATGTTGCAGCGGGACTTTATTACCGCTTTACCAGGTAACTATACTGCCTTTCTAAAAAAAACTAAATAGTGTAAAAATGCCCAACTCAAGATCTTGGGTAGAACTATGTTGATATTGGTATAATGAATGAATGAGTATGGGGTGTGGCAGCATTTCTTTGGGCTACATACCATATTTTAATATATTGCACTGGGAGAAGAGTTTGATTCAGTGTCCTCCAGGAAATATAGGAAGTTTCTGCAGTCAATACTATTGTTTCTTTTAGTTTATATAATAAGTTAATGTCATGCTTTTCTTTTTGATGTCATATGTAGATATAAATATGGGAAATATTTTTCCTACAGTGTTTGGGAAGTGTCAAAGTTGAGAATATTTGTTTGTATCTCACGTGATATTTAGGGAATGGTAGAAGTGTGTTGGGAAATTGTTAGTATAGTGTGTTCTTATATACCTACAAACATTTCTGCATTCTCTCCCTACCCATCTCTCTCTTTTTCTCTGTTTTAGTTTTAGGTTCAGGGTAATAAAATTGAGTAGGAAGCAGAGTTTCCATATTCTTCCTCTCTCTCCTTCCTATACAACCTCCCTACCACCATCCTTCCAGAGGGGCACATTTGTTATAATATGTAAGCCCACATTGATGCAACACAGTCATCCAAAGCCCAGGCTTGATGTGTGAGTTCACTCTTGGGAGTTGTACATTCTGTGTGGTTTCACAAATGTGTGTATAAAGATATGTGGTGGTGTCTTGGAGAAGATTTTCATAGCACTAAAAAAACCTTTTGTGTTCTGCCTTGTCAACCCCCTCTGATTTTTTTTTTTAAGATTTATTTATTCATACAAAACTGGGGTACAGGCCAGAGGGCTCAGGAGAGATGAGAGGCTTCACCAGAGACAGAGTGGGGAGCAGAACAGGCAGGTGGACGATTTACACTGCTGAGGGGAGCAGCGGGCAGGTCAGGTCAGGAGAGGTCTGCCTCACCATGTGGTCACCTCCGGGGCAGGCGGGAAT